ATTATTATTATTATTATTATTTAGCTTTTATCTATTGAACACTTACTTTACAAATTTACTGCTCTGGGTCCTAGGGAACATGGGTGTGAAGATAGGCAGGTCTTTCAGTTCATGGAGAATGTTTTCTATTATAGTATAAATAAATATTTACATTTAATTTCACCTATGAAGAAAATAAACAATTGCAGAATGATGTGAGGTGCTGCATTATGGGAGGGTCACGTAATGTCAGAGGCAGGGTTCTAGCCCAGGTCTGTCTGATCCTAGAGTGATGGAGTTACTGGTCTGTGACAGTCAGGGGAAACCCTCTACTGTCGCCATACCGAATATCTGAACATGAGAGAACTCCACAGTACAGTAAGCGCTGATTACTGTTCATACAGAAACTACCTCTCTTCTCCCTAGGCAATCTAAAAGGGGGATCAGAACTGTTACAGGGTCCCAAAAGCCACAGGGCAGGAACCAAGGTACATATTGCCTCATTACAAGTTACCCCCAAAACTTTGTGGCTTCAAATAACGATAATGAGTTATGATTTCTCACCATTTCTCTAGATGAGTTCAGACAGGGCATGAAGGAGACGGTGTGTCTCTACTGTCCAGTGTCCAGTGGTTCTCAGCTAGGGGCAGTTCTGCTTCCCACCCCAGCCCCACCCCAGAGGACATCTGTCAATGTCTGGAGGTATTTATTTGTTACCACTTGCAAGTTGCCACGAGTCTCCAGTAGATAGAAGCCATGGGTACTGCTAAGCGTCCCACCGTGCACGGGAGAGCCTGCACACACACTGCAGGGGCTGGTCCAGAATGTGAGGCGTGCGGAGATTGAGAAACACGGCGTGGGGCCTCTGCTGGAAAACCAGGGGTGGTGAGCCAGAATCACCCGAGGTCATGTTCACGCATGTGTCTGACACTGGTGCTGGGTTGTCAGGCAGAACACCCATTAGTGACCTCTTCATGTGACCCGGGCTTCCTCATAGTTTGGTAGCTGGGCTCCAAGGATGAGAGTCGAGAAAGAAAAGAGAGAGCACACCCACTTGAGTCAGGTGGAGGTCGTGTCGCCTTTGTGACCTCTCCCATTACCGCGTGTGCTCTGTTAGTCAGATTCAAGGAATGGAGAAATGGACACCGTGTCTGTAAGGGAAGTGACAGGGTTCTGGACGGTCACGCAGGAGTGGAGATACTGCCATGGCCATTTTTGGAAAAATGTAATCTACCATTGCCGAGTCAGTCACTTTCCATCCCCATGAAAGGGCATAGGGAACCGACTCACCAGGGCGACCCTCACTCACCCTTGAGTTTGACTGTGTTTGCGTAATTGTTTATTGCTTCAACCTGGTGGGAGAAGGGACAGTAGGGAGAGTGAAGATGGGGAGGGAAAGGTGAGTCAGTGAAAAGCCTGGGGCATAGAGGCCTGGCCCTGTGGATCTTGGTGAGGCAGTGGGCATGGGTTGGGAGACAGCGCCACCATAGGACTGCCCAGACCTATGAAAGGCTGCTCGGGGTCATCGTGTGTTGAAGTGTGAGTCATGGAAACCCAACATCTGGGGGCCAGCAGATGATGTAGTAGTTACGTCGCTGGATTCCCACATGGCTGACCACAGTTCATGCCCTGGACCTGGTGGCTTAAAAATCAAGCCAGGAGGACCAGTGGTTGGTATAACGGCTATGTCATTGGACTCCCATGTAGTCAACTGCAGTTCGAGTCCCAGACCCGGTGGCTTAAACTCATGCCAGGCATGTATGTGTGCGTGCCGAGGATCCTGAGAGGAGACTGGAGAAGGGATTGTGGCATGGCCATCCCCCTTGGGGGGGGGGTGATTTCTTGCCTTCTGTCTCTGTCTGTGTCTTCCTGGCAAGTGCATGCCCCCTATAGCAAAAACCTCTCCAAAAAGAAAAAAAAAAATCACGCCAAGTGTGCATGTGTGTGTGCCCAAGAGACCAGCAGGAGCATGGAAGAGAAGGGATTGTGGTGGGGCTATCCCTCCTGGGGGTGATTTCTCACTTTCCCTCCCACTGTTTCTGCCTCTGGTAAGAGGACACGCCCTAGGCAAAACCCTTAAAAAAAAAAAAAAAAAAAGAGGAGAAAAGAAAACCCACTGTCTGGAAATCAAGGATCATCTGTAGAACTGTCCATGGTGAGATTCTTTCAAATGTGGTCATCTTTCAGACTCAGGTGCACAGTATGGAGATGGTTGTTAATGTAACCTTTTGTATTAACCACGAAAAGTGTTCTTACTGAGGCTGGATGATAGAGCTGTGGTAAAGTGCTGTGTTCTGCAAGGCAGATCTGCGTGGGGACATTTCCAGTCCATGTCCAGAGACCTCCCTGAGTACACTAGGCACACATGTGTCCACGATTCAGGCTGGCTGAGGCTGGGGGTGGATTATGTCATTAAGACTCCGTTAGGGGTGCTGTACATCCTCCCCTCCAACCCCCGTCTCTCACTGATAGAATAAACTATTTTTACAGATCCTCATTTTATTCTTAGGGAATAAACTCTTTTGTTTTTAAGTTTGTTTCTTAGTAAGAACATATATTAACATTCGTCATCCTTTGTTTTGATCTTGTTTTTCTACAAAATAGCTTTCTTGCAGAAAGAAAAATCTTAAATTTCATTTTTTGTGTTTACTGACAACTTTCTGTGTTTTAGATTTTGCTAAACATGCCGACTTTCTGGAAGCCATAAGTAGTGCCTTGAGGGCCCTTTTGCAAACCATGGCCTCTAAGAACATTTCTCAGGTAAGGTTTTTTGAACATTTTTGTGTGAAACTTGTGAAGATTCTTTATTATGCAAAATTCTTTATTTAGCTATTTTTTGGGGGAGGGGGGAGATTTTTGCTATAGGGAGTGTGTGCTTGCTGGAGAGACAGAGAGACAGAAAGCAAGAAATCACTCCCCCGGAGAGATGGCCACGCCCATCACAATTCCTTCTTCATTCTCCTCTTGGGATTTTGGGCACACACATATACGCACCCAATGTGTTTTAAGCTGCTGGGTATAGGTCTCGAACCCTGGTTGATTACGTTGGAGTCCAGTAATATAATCATTATGCCTTCTGCTGGTCTCAAACTAGCTATTTTTTTTTAAATACATGTTTTGGGGCTAGTTGGTGGTGCAGTGGTAACACATTGGTCTGCAAGGCTCACCCACATGGGAAGGTTCTGGATTCACATGCAGACACCTCCATGAACATATCAGACATGCATGTGCCCATGATCTGAGGGTAGCTGAGTCAGGGGATGGGTCACAGTATGAGGATCATGTTGGGGTTGCCTGTCTCTCTGTCTCTGTATCTGTCTCTCACTTACGGAAAAAAATAAATAAATGAGCCCTTTTTTTTTAACTGCCAGAGAGCATGTGTGCTCCTCAGAGAGAGAGAGAGAGACAGAGAGAGACAGAGGGAGGGAGAAGACGTCTTCCAGTGGAGTGTATCACACTGAAGTCCCTTCTCCATTTCTCCATTCTGTCCAGATCTGATCATGCATATACCAGGCATGTTTTTCACGTTGCTGGGGCCAGGATTCAGACAGCAATTATGGGATCCAGCTCCCATAATCACTAGGTTCCTTGGCTGGCCCATAAATAAGAATTAAACATTTTTTTCTTTCAGGGCTGGTGGGTAATATGGTGGTTAAAGGCACTGAGTTCCCACTTGGCTGACCATGGTTCAAGTCCTGGACCTGGCAGCTTGCTTTCTCGCTTTCCCTTTTTCTGTCTGTCTCTTTGTGGTCAAATTAAAAAATAATCATAGCAAATGGAATTAAATAAATAAATCTTTGAAATGTTTTTGTCTTTCATTCATGATAGAGAGCATACGAGCATGTGCATGCACATAGGAATGAGAGAGAGAGGAACAACCTCAACGGCTGGTCATCCCACAACCCCCTCCCTCCAGTCCTCTGATCCCATAGATCTTGGGCACTCTAGTCTGGACTCTCAGTTAATAGACACTTCTTATAATCATTTGATAAGCAGTACAAGTTCAGTTTTCCAAGATTGCCTTAAAAATGTCTTTTTACAATTAGCTTATTCAAATTAGGAATTAAACAAGGTCTACACGTTGCTTCTGGTTGATACTTGGACTTTATATCTTTTTTAACAGCTTTTTTGAGATTTGGTTTACAGAAACATACAATTTATCCATTTACAGTATACAGTTTAGTGATTTAAGTGTATTCATAGTTTCTGTTGTTCCTGTTTTGTTTTTTAGTTTTGCTATAAGGTATGTGTGCTTACTTGAGAGAGAGAGGGAAAGTGAGAAATTGCTCCTCAAGGGGGATGGCCACGCCACAGTTTCTTCTCTTCTATTCTCTTCTCAAGATTTTGGGCACTACAAAAAATTAAAAAATAAAAATAAATTAAAAAAAAAAAAAGATTTTGGGCATGTGTGCATGCCTGGTCTGTTTTTCAGGCAGCCGGGTCCAGGACTCAAACTGCTGTTAGCCATATGGGATCCAGCTACTTTAATCACCATGCAACAGATTGACCCATATATGCATAGATTTTTAAATCTCTTAATCTATAACATTTTCCCTATCTACTCTTCTTCTCCCATACTGTTTGTTAATTGAAGAAACTTATTTTGTGGGACCAGCAGGTGACATGGTGGTTAAGGGTGCTGGACTCCCGCATGGGCAACTGTGTGCAGTTCATGTTCCAGACCTGGTGGCTTGGTTTCTCACTTTCCCTCCCTCTCTCTCACAGTCTATCCCTCTCTGATCAAATTTAAATAAATAAATAAATAAAAGTAAATAAAATAATTCTTTTAAAAAAACCCTTATTTTGTTCTGAAGAATTTTCCCCATTCTCAGCGTTGGCTGATTTATCATGATAGTGTTGTTTAACATGTTTCTCTGTCTTCCATATTTCCTGTGAACTAGAAGCTAAGTCTAGAGCCATGTTAGATTTAGGTTCAGATATTTTTGGCAAACATCATTTTTAGTGCATTACTGTGCTGGTAAACAGGGAAACCTGAGACTGAGCACTTTATGAAGAATAGGGATTTATTTGGCTTGTAAATCTGCTGGTGAGAAAGTCAAAAGCATGGGCTGGCATCACAATATGGCCAACAAGCAGAGAAGAAGGCAGGAACGTGCAAAGAGAGAGAAGAAGAAGAGGAAATAAGACTTCCACTTCCTCTGTTGTCCCTTCCATGCCCCCGCACAGAACTGCCCCCCTCCCATTAGGCCCCATCCATTATAGGTCTCACTACCCCCCTACCCCCCAGAGCCATTGTACAGGGGATCAGGCTTCCAGAACACAGTATTTTGGGAGACAAACCCAAATTATAGCAGTGCTGTATATATTCCCTACTTTTATACCACAAATCATATAATGCCATAAAAGGGTGTGAGGATCAATTAGTGGGTTCACTTAATGGTTTTAGCAACCAGTGATTATGTTTGCCTAGATCCATTATATTACTAGGGGTTGCAAAGTGGAGATATCTTAATTTTGTCCGTTCTTTTACATTTATTAACATTAGCTGTGATCCTTCTGTAAATAAGAACCTTTTGTCTCATGGTTATATAGGGACTTTGAAATAAAGGCCCCCAACCCCTTTTTCCAGAAAAATTACTGATAGCGTAACTGTCTCTGAAAGTGACCAGAGAAGCATTGGGGTTTTGTTTTATTAAGTATCATTATGAACTCAGTGTTTCTTATATATTTGTATTTCATTACATTTTAGTCTTTTTTTTTTTTCTTTGAGAGGTTTTTGCTATAGGGCGCGTGCGCTCGCCAGAAAGACAGAGAGAGACAGAGACAGAAAGCAAGAAGTCACCCCCCAGGGGAGGAGACGCTGCTGCACTCCCTTCTCCTCCATTCTTCTCTCGGGATCTTGGGCACACACGCACACGCCCAGCGTGAGTTTAAGCCACCAGGTCTGGGATTCAAACTGCAGTTGGCTACATGGAAATCCAGTGACATAGCCATTACGCTAACTGCTGGTCCCATTTTTAGTCATTTTATTGATGTAGAAATTGACCCATCTTGAGACAGTAGAAATTCTTTTAAATTGGTTCCTATGTCTCTTTGACAAGAATCTTGGGTTTTTTTGTTGTGTTTTGTTTTGTTATATCATTTCTGCTTCCAGGCACAAAATGTCCCAGGCTCAACCTGTAATTTTCCTGCCTAGGACTGGAATCAGTTATTTTTCTAAGAAGCCTTGCTTTCTTTAGTGGGAAATTGAATTTTAGAGTGCTTATTGCTATCATATTTTTATTGTTTCTAGTACCTTTTAGTGGAAATAGCTAGAAAATTTGAAGGGGGTACACAAAATAAAAAATAAATTTTTACTAATATTTCCATCTTAAGTAAAAAAGATAAATTGTTTTTAACTTCACTTTTTATATTATATTTGTGTCTTTTTTTGTATTGAAATTGTACTTCCTAGTAATGTTAAAATATTATTTGCTTTATCGTTAATAGTTTCAAAATAATGACCAATTATTACTAACAATAACACTATCAAATGCAATTTAAGATTTCTTTTTTTTTTTTCCTTTAGGATATATCCTTCTAGAACTATACATTCAAATTATTCTGAGTTATTTTCTTTTTTTACATTTATTTATAAATCTTTTCCATGAGAGAGAGAGACAAGTACTCTCCACAAGGTCCTCACCCCATGATTCACCCCTCGTCTTGGCCAGCTGGGTCATGGGCGTGGAAGTGAAGCCTTCAGTGAGGTCCCAAGACATGAACCTAAGATGTGTCCCAAGTGCATTCAGTTGCATTATCACGGTGTTACTGTAAGGTTCTCAGATCGCCATGTTTTCAAGTTGCTTGAGAAAATTCCCCTTGGCTTAAAAGTTAGCTTCAAATTTTGCCTCTTTTTTTTTTTTTTTTTTAAGGGATTACTCTTTTGTCTGGTTTAATTTTTATGTAAAAAGTTATATATTTAGTGAATCAGCAGTTAGCGTAATGGCTATGTCGCTGGACTCCCACGGAGTCGACCGAGGTTCACGTCTCGGACCCGGTGACTTAAATCTCACGCCCGGCGCGTGTGCGTGCGTGCCCAAGATCTCGAGAGGAGAATGGAGGAGAAGGGATTGCGGCGCGACCATCCCCCCTGGGGGGTGATTTCTCGCTTTCTGTCTCTATGTCTCTCTGTCTGTCTGGCGAGCACACGCACCCTATAGCGAAAACCTCTCCAAAAAAAAAAAAAAAAAGTTATATATTTACAGAGTTAAAACTATGAAACAAAGTGTTTTCAGAGAAAAATATGAGAGTGTCTTACAATGGAATGTTATTCAGCCATAGAAAAGAAAGAACTTCTGACACATGCCACATAAGCCTGGAAGACATGATGCTAAGTGAAATAAACCAGACACGAAAGGACAGATATTACATGGTTCTGTTCCTGGGGGGGTACTTGGAGTAGTCAAATGGATAGAGACAGGAAGTCAAGCATGCCAGGGGGAGGGGGCAGAGGGAGCCATTGTTTAATGAGTACAGATTTTCAGTACAGGACGATGATGACAGGCATAATGATGATAGTTGCACGACAGTGTGAATGTACTGAACGCCACTAAGCTGTATACTCAAAGTTAAAATGGCAAATCTTGATCTATTTTACACCCTAAGGAAAGATACAATTCAGAGAGGTCTAGTTTGTTATTTTTTTCCTCCCACTCTTTTATTCCCACTCCATTTGGTAATCATCTTTTTTGTTTTCACTTTATTATTATTTTAAAAACTTTTTTCAAAGCTTTATAGCAAGATCAACTACAAAGCAGAGAAGACTGAAAGTAAATATACACCCCAAGAGGTAGGAGAGCAGGTAGGCTCCAAAGGCAGATACTGGCTCTTTTATTATTATTATTTTTTAAACATATATAACGTTTTTTTTCCTTTGCCCTTTAAAAAAAATTTTAAATGAGTAGATCTGGCCCCATGGTGCAGCAGTTAAGTGCTCTGCATGGGCAGCTGCATCACACATGGCTGACGACAGTTTGAATCCTAGCCCCAACAGCTTGAAAAACATACCAGGTGTATGTGCATGCATACCCCACATTGAGGTGGAATGGAAAAATGGAGGAAAAAAGGATTGTGGTATGACCATATCCTCTTGGGAAATGTATGCATGTTCACTCTCTCTCTGGCAAGCACAGCTGCCTTCTAACAAATAGCTACATTTTAAAAAATAAAATGGAAAAAATTGTAAAGAGCAGGTATTGGATTGTTGGGAAAATCATGATGCATTTCTCCATAGCAAAACATAGAAAGATACCATGACTTTTCCGACAACCTAATAAAAGCAGGATCGTTGTGTGTAGTAAGTGTATTTGTATTTCACTTTTTTTTGAAGTACTGTTTCTGCACCTTGCTTTTCTCTTTTATCGATGATCACAGTGTATGTTTTTCTCATTTCTTTTTTACATAGTCTGCTCACCTTTACCGTTCTTTGACCTCCTTTTCTCTGGTGGTCTTATCATCTTGTCTTAGTCACTCCACGGCTACCCCTGTAGAGCAGTGCTTCCCAAACTTTATTTTGTTCCAGAGTTTAAGGGGAATATGTTGGTGTTTGACGGTTAAATGTAGAAGGTGATGTTTGCTTCATCCGTAGATACATATATGCACACATTTAATTGCCAGAGGGTGTGTGTGCTCACCAGAGGGAGGGAGGGAGGGAAAAAGCACTCTGCAGTGGGACACAGTCATGCTGCAGTCCCTTCTCCATTTCTCCATTCTGTCAGGATTTGGAGCACATATGCACAAGTGCTTGACGTTTTATTAAAGCCACCAGGGCCAGGATTTGACCCACAGTCAATTCTATAGGATTCAGTTTCCTTAACCACTAGGCTATGTGGCTGGTTTATGGCTGCATATTAATAAGTTTTTATTTTTAAAGTTTCTCTGCCTATCTAATAGGTTTTTGTTTTTTTTTTTTCAAGCACAGAATATTTTACTCTCAGTGTCTGTGAAAGGGGAATAATAAGAATGTCTGACCTGCCGTGTGGCTGTTGGGAGGATCAGAATACCTTATACCGTACAGCCCGTAGAATTAGAAGATGTCTTTATTGATTTCCCATGGTAGGTAGACAGCATCTCCCTGGATCAGTCTGGTGATTAAAGAATTGCTCAAAGCCTATGCCCATTTAAGGGTAAATCACTCATACATAGTAAGACCATGAAACCTTGGGCTGAATGTATATTGGTCATGAGAATAGAAAGTTAGTGGGAGAAGACCCCTGGCTCTCTAATGCTGTACAGGAGAGCAAACCGAGGTTTGGATACATTAGGCAGCTCTGTGAGTTACACTCAGAATCCTAAGGGCATGCTGAATAGAGACCTCATCCTAACTCTGAGGAATCATTTGTGCATTTTTTTTCCCCTAAGTTTTTGCTGTAGGGCAGGTACGTTTGCCAGAGAGAGAGAAAGTGAGAAATTATCCCACCCAGGAGGCATGGCCATCCTGCAGTTCCTTCTCCTTGATTCTCTTCTTGGGATTTTAGGCACACATGCACATGTGCCCAGCGTGATTTTTTTTTTCTTTTTTTGAGAGGTTTTTGCTATAGAGCGAGTGCACTCGCCAGACAGACAGAGAGAGAGAGAAATCACCCCCAGGGGGGATGGCCACGCCGCAATCCCTTCTCCTCCATTCTCCTCTTGGGATCTTGGACACGCACGCACACGCACCCTGTGTGAGTTTTAAGCCACCGGGTCTGGGACGCGAACCGCGGGCAACTGCATGCGAACCGCGGTCAACTGCATGGGAGTCCAGCAACTTAGCCATTACGCTAACCGCTGGTCCCCCCCAGCGTGATTTTCAGGCCACTGGGTCTGGGACTCAAACTGTGATCAGTGTGGGAGTCCAGCGCCTTCACCACGCCACCTGCTGGCCCCCTTTGTGTAATTTTTGTCATGCAGGTATTTTTGAGTAACCTGGCACATGGGCTATTACCTTTAGAGCTGGCAGAAGCAGGCAGAGGTTCAGAAGTTTGTTTAGTGATTTAGAGCTGCTCAGTGTGTTTACAGACGGTAATAACATTACAGTTGATATTTAGTGAGTATTTTATTTGTATTATTTAATTCCTGTAGTACCTGTGTGATGAATACTTATCATACCCATTTTACTGATCATAAAATGGAAAATGTAGTGAAGTAAAGTTACTAGTCCTGGATTGCAATAGTAAGTAGTAGAGCTAGAATTTTATTTTTTATTTTATTTTATTTTATTTTATTTTGCTAAACATCTCTGTGCTTGCTGTAGAGAGACAGGGGGCAGAGGGAGGGAAAGCGAGCAAACAATCCCCCACAGAGGGGATGGCCATGCCACAATCCCTTCTCCTCTATTTACCCCTCCTTTTTGTTTTTTCTTTTTCTTTTCTTTTCTTTTTTTTTTTTTTTTTTTGAGAGGTTTTTGCTATAGGACATGTGCACTTGCCAGGTAGAGACAGAGAAACAGAAAGCAAGAAATCACCCTCCAGAGGGGATGGTCATGCTGCAATTCTCCTCCGTTCTCCTCCCAGGACCTTGGGCACACACGCACACACACCTGGTGTGAGTTTTAAGCCACCGGGTCCAGGACGCGAATCACTATCAACTGCGTGGGAGTCCAGTGACATAGCCATTACGCTAACTGCTGGTCCCATATTTACCCCTCCTTTTGAGATTTTGGGCACACATACACCTGTGCTTAGCATGTTTTTTAAAGCCACCAGGCCTGGAACTTGAACCACATAGTCAGCCATGTGGGATCCAGTTCCCTAACCATGACACCAACAGCTGACCCAGAGCTAGGTTTTGACCCAAGTCTAGCTCCAAATCCCAAACCTCTCATCCACACCATGTTGCTGCTTACAGGGGATAGCCTGGTAATATGACGTCCTCAGCCTCTCATGGCACCTGTCTCTAAATGTGTGCTCAAATTAGCTTAAACAACATTATCACCACGTATTATTATAGGAGCACACTATAATTTAATGGTTTACAGTCTTGAATAATTTGCAATAACACAAGCATCTCAAAATACTGATCTTGTACAGACACACATGCCCAACATGTTCAGGAAGGTCCTGGGAGATGAACACAGGACCTTTCCTGTGTGGGTCCAGTTGTGTCACCACTCTAGCACCATGTGGCCCATCAAAGCCTTTCTTTTTTTTTTTTTTTTTTTTTTTTTAGGCTTCTGCCATAGTCCACATGCACTCAACTGGATAGAGACAGAGAAAAGGAAAGTGAGAAATCACCTCCCCCTGCCCCCAAGGGATTGGCCACACATTAGTCCCTTTTCCTCTATTCTTTTCCTGGAATTTTGGGCATGCATGTACACGTGTGATTTTCAAGGCAACTCTGTGAGGAGTCCAGCTCCTAAACTGCCATGCCACCTACTGGCCCTTCAAAGCCTTCTTTATTATCAATATTAGATATTTCTTGCATGCTGTGAAAAACCATACTGTGTCCCACAAAGATGTGCAATGAATATATGTTATCCAGAAATCGCAATAAAAATATTAGAATCACTTCAATCTATGTATATTTGAAACGAAAGTCATCTCCATATTAAACTAATAGGATGTGAAGACCCTTTTATAGATTGGATAATGGAAGTGACCTGAGCAGGGCTCATCTTCATTTAGAATTACCTGCTCTGTGTAGGAGTGATTAGAATGTATAATAACTAGGCCAGCTCCTTGGCCTGGTGGTAAAGGCAGCTGGATCCCACATAGCCAAATGCACAGTTTGAATCCTGGCCCTGGCTGCTTGAAAAATATGCCAGGTGTGTATGTTTGCACACACACACCCAAACCCCAACAGGATAGAGGCATGGAAGAGAAGTGATTGTGGTATGACCAAGACTCACTGGGGACACTATTTCCCCCTCCCTCTCTTTCTGTCTTTCTCTCTCTCTCTCTCTGGCAAATGAACATACCCTCTGGCAAATTTAAAAAAAAAAAAAGAAAGAATATAATAACTTCTTTGCCAAGAGTTAATCATGTAGCCTATAGGAGGGTTTCTGTGCATCCTGTTTTCATATGCTACTGAAATTGGTTGCGTTTAACACTGTAAATTTTCTCCTCTTTCAACAGTGCATGACTCCAGACCAGCTGATGACATTATGCAAAGCAGGCATTCATAGCAGTAATGTCGGGGTTAGAGTGAACGTCGTTAGTATTTTAGGAATCACTGGCAGCGTTCTAGCCAAAGAAGATGGTACCCTTGAGACTCTTAAGGTAAAACAGTAGAACAGTAAATAATTGGAAATGAGGGAAGAGTAAACAGTTGGTGTAGAAATTTTTTTTTTTTAGAATTATTTTATTGAACTTTTTTTTTTTTAATCCATTAGTTTATTTTAATTTGACCACGGAGGGACAGAGTGAGAAAGAGGGAAAGTGAGAAAGCAAGCTCCCAGGTCCGGGGCTTGAACCTCAGTCGGCCATGTAGGAGTCCAGCACTCCTAACCACCATGCCACCTCCTAGCCCCAAGTTGGTGTAAGATTTTTAAAAGCTTCTGTGAGTGTGAGTAGAAAAAAGCTTATCTGGAGGTGTTTACTAAGTTATATTATTAGGCTTTACCTATTGGCTTGATCGAACCACATGTTTTAGATTAGTACTTCAAAAATTGAGGCACATTTTGCCATTTCCCTTTACTGTGGAGACACTGTTTGGAACATAATTTGTCTTCAAATAATTTGTCTGCATTTGAAAGGCCGAATGCAAAATTTGTGAAGATGCTTCTGCCTTTGCTGTTGCATGAAATATTTGTGACGTGTTCACACTGACTAAGGAACAGTTCACCCTGTTTTTCTCGCACACCAGGTAAAGTGCATCCTGAAAAATAGCATACAGCTAGTTCTAATATCCCTCCATAGGTTCCCAGCAGCAGCTCTGGGAGGCCGTACCCTAATATCTCAATTCAGCACATTTGCTCTGAGCACTCTGTCTCAGCGCCGTTGCCCTGCCCCACACTGGTAGAGGAACAGCATCCCTAACAATTAAAAAGACGATAGTAAGGGCAAGCAAGTGGCGTGGTGGTTAAGGTGCTGGACTCTTACATGGCCGATCTCGGTTCAAGTCCCAGATATGGTGGCTTGCTCTCTCTCTCTCTCTTCCCCCCTCTCTCTGGTGAGCACACATGCCCTCTAGCAAGTTGAGAAAATAATAACAATAATAATAAATTAAATTAAAAGGACGATGATGGTATAATTTTCACTTTGCTAATAATTGCTCAAGTGTTGATTAGACTAATGTGTAATAAACTAATTATTATTATAAGGAATCTTCTAACCTTTTAAGACGATTACAGTGATGATTGATGTTCTTAAACATCTTTCTTAGAACAGTGGCACATGTACATTATAAAACATTTAGAAATGTACAAAAGTAGATACGATGAAAAGATTCACGTCCGCTCCTAAACTTGCAGTCCACCAGTTTACCTATAAAGAGAGCTTTTGTTCGTCATTTCTTCTGTATGGTGCAGGGAGTTTTAGTGCATTTACATGTGAGCGAGAAAGGACGCCTGTGTGGCCTTTACATGTGCACACATACAGATGCACAGGTGTGTAGTCACTCTGTCACACACATAAGATGTATTTTAATTTAAGTTTTTTTAGAGATTTTTGCTATAGGGCACATGTACTCGCCAGAGAGAGAGAGAGACAGAGAGAAAGTAAGAAATCACCCCTAGGGGGAATGACCACGCTACAGTCCCTTCTCCATTCTTTGGGGATTTTGGGAATGTACGTGCACATGGCCAGCGTGAATTTCAAACCTCCAGGTCCAGGACTTGAAACACGGTTGACTACATGGGAGTCTAGCGATGTAACCATCATGCTATCTACTGGTCCCAACAGTTGTTTCATTTTTTATTTTATTTTATTTTATTTTATTTACTTATTCATTTATTTTAATTTGACCAGAGAGACACACACACATACACAGAGACAGAGAGAGAGAAAGAGAGAAACTGAGAAAGCAAGCCACCAGGTCTGGGATTTGAACCGTGGTCGGCCATGTGGGAGTGTCCAGCACCTTAATCACAACACCACCTGCTGGTTCCCCAACAATCATTTCTTAATACTTGACTTAATAGCAGTTATTTCAGGGTCTGGCAGATGGCGTGATGGTTAAGAGCACTGGACTCCTACATGGCCGACTGCACTTCGGGTCCTGGACCTGGTGGTTTGCTTTTTCACTTTCTGTCTCTCTCTTTCTCTCTCTTGCTCTGTCCCTCTCTGGTCAAACTGAAATAAGTACATAAATGGATAAATAAAGTTAAATAATTCTTTTTAAAAAATAAGTTATTTCTAATGTCTGGTCCACATTCACAATTTTCCAGTTGTCTCAAAAATATCTGTTTAGGGAACCAGCAGTTAGCGTAATGGCTATGTCGCTGGACTCCCACGTAGTCAACTGCGGCTCGCGTCCCGGATCCGGTGGCTTAAAACTCACGCCGGACGCGTGTGCGTGCGTGCCCAAGATCCCGAGAGGAGAATGGAGGAGAGGGGATTACGGCGTGACCATCCCCCCTGGGGGATGATTTCTCGCTTTCTGTCTCTATGTCTCTCTCTGTCTGTCTGGCGAGCACACGCGCCCTATAGCGAAAATCTCTCTCAAAAAAAAAAAAAATCTGTTTACAGATAATTTGTTTAAAACAAAGTCTACAAGTTATATTTGGTTGGCAGTCTAAGTCTCTCTTAATCCAGGACAGTTCTTCCCTAGAACAAGACAGTCTTTCTCCTCTGCTTCTTAATTTGTTGACCCATATAGTGTCCAGCGTTTGAATTGGTCTGATTGCTTCTTTTTGGTCTTAAATTTGTTCCTTTGTCCCCTGAATTTCCTGAGGCTGAATGTTAGGCCTAAAGTCTAGAAAGGAAAGATTCAGGGAACAGCAGATGGTGTAGCGGTTACATCACTAGACTCCCATATGGGTGACCACAGTTTGAATCCCAGACCCGGTGGCTTGAAAACTATGCAGGGTGTGTGTGTATGCATGCCCAAGATCCCAGGAGGAGAAAGGAGAAGGGACTGTGGCATGGCCATCCCCCCGGGGGTGATTTCTCACTTTTCCTCTCACTGTCTCTGTCTCTCCCCAGTGAGTACATGCTTCCTAAGGCAAAAACCTCTTTTTAAAAAAAGAAGAAGAAAGAAAGAAAATAATCAGATTAATCCTTTTTTCTTTTCTTTCATTCTTTTTTTTTTTTTTTTTTTAAGGTTTTTGTCAGAAGGTGCACACGCTTGCTAGATAGAGACAGTGAGAGGAAAGTGAGAAATCGCCCTCTGGGGCAATCCACAATCCCTTCTCCATTCTCCTCCTGAGATTTTGGGCATAGCACACACATGTACCTGGCATAATTTTCAAGCCTCTAGGTCTGGAACTCAAACCATGGTTGGCCATATGGGAGAACAGAGCTCCTATGCCACCTATTGGGCTACTATGCCACCTATTGGCCCTTAGATTAATCCTTTTTAATAAGACCACTTCATAGGCGATGCTGTGTCTTTTGCATTACGTAGTAGGATACTAAGTCTGAATGCTGTGCTATGCTGTCTTACAGGTTATCTCAATCACTTATATCAGACAGGAAAAATTAAAGCCCGAAGAGGTTAAATGACTGCCCAGGAGTCCCTGTCATTTATGGGAGAGCCAGACTTTGGACTCAGTGTTCTGAGCAGTTCTACCCTCCCACCTGTAATATCAGATTGCATATCACCCTTGCAAAAGGTGAAGCTGAACAGCCGAATTCAAATGAGTATGCTCTGGAACAGTTCACAGATTGGAAATGTCTGTTCACTAGCTAGCTAACTGTGAAGGGAAAAGGGGGTAAAAGTAAAACATTAACTAATGTGGTGAAGCAAAACAAGATTGTTAGTTTTTTTTTTTTTTCAATTATCATCTTAGGGTATTATTCACATACCTAATTTTAAAAGCAGATTTTTTAATCTTTTTTTTTTTAATTTTTAAATACTTGCTACAGAGTGCATGTATTCACCAGAGGGAGAATAAAAGAGAGAGAGTGAGAAAACACCTCCCAAGGGAGCTTAGCCATCCCGCAATCCATTCTCCTCCATTCTCCTCTTGGGATTTTGGGCACACCTGCACTTGTGCCCAGGGTGTTGCCCAAGCTTCAAGATCTGGGACCTGAACCCTGCAATTGGCCATGTGAGATCTAACCCCAACTACCACATCACTGGCATGGAGAAAGCCTTATCGAGGAGGTAGAGAAGAATTTTTTTTTTAAAGAAGTTTTTGCTATAGGGTGTGTGCGCTCACCAGAAAGAGAGACAGAGAGACAGAAAGTGAGAAATCACCCCTAGGGGGATGGCCACACTGCAATCCCTTCTCCTCCATTCTTCTCTCAGGATCTTGGGCACGCACGCACACGCGCCTGGCGCGATTTTAAGCCACCAGGTCCGGGACTCGAACCGTGGTTGACTACGTGGGAGTCCAGTGACATAGACATTATGCTAACTGCTGGTCCCGGTAGAGAAGAATTTTAATGATTTCCTGAATCAATTTCTCATATATTGTTTATGGATCTTAATTCATTTCATTTAAGAATTTAAACTATAATAAAGTCCTCAGTCTTTTAAACTTTTCACTTCTTTTTTCTTTTCTTGCCTTTTTTTTTTTTTTTTTTTTCCCCAGATTTTTGCTATAGGGCACATGTGCTTACCAGAGAAACAGAGAGAGATAGAATGTGAGAAATCACCTCCCGGGGTTGGAGGGTGATGGCCACTCTGCAGTCTTCTCCTCCATTCTCCTCTTGGGATCCTGAGCATGCGCACACACACACACACACACACCCACTCACACACTCACACACACGTATGGTGTGAGCTTCAAGCCTTTGAGTCCAGGCCTGAATCATGTCAGTCGTGTTGGAGTCCAGCGATGTGACCATTATGCCATCTGCTTGTCCCTTGCCCTTTTTTTTTTTTTTTTTAACTGCCAGCAGGTATGTGCACTACTAAAGGGAGAGAGCAAGAGAGAGAAAAGCACTCCCCAGTGAGGCGTGGTCAAAACACAGTCCCTTCTCAGTTTCTCCATCCTGTTGGATTTGGGGAATGCACGCCTACATGTCCCACATGTTTTTCAAGCCCCTGGGCTGGGATTTGAACCCCGTGGTTAGCCATGTAGGATCTGTTCCCTTTACCACCAGGCTATGGGCTAGCTCTTCCCTGGCATTTTTATATAAACCGTATGCATGAATTGTCGCCACATTTAAAGTTAGTACCCATTTTGGAGACTGATTTCAGACGTATTATACAGTGTGTTTTGTTGTTTCCAGACTATCGGGAGCTTCCTGCTTGAAGTTGCCACCAAAGATCCTTCCCTCGTCGTAGCAGGAGAAGCATTGGATGCCCTCTTCGACGTTTTTGCAGATGGTAAAGAAGCTGAAAGAGCCTCAGTTCAAATTAAATTATTATCTGCCCTGAAAGAATTCCAGCCAGTCTTCAAAACGAAGGTTCGTTGCCATTTTATATGTAAATATGTACATCTGAACATTCTGTTGGGACGAAGTTGTAGTTAGCACCATGCAATTTAGAGCGTTGTGTGTGACGGAGCCTCATACACCTCAGGAATTCATGCAGCACTTTATCCTCGCCGCTTTGTGAAATGTTTGTTGACTGAGTCATGGCTCAGCAGTATTACTGTTGAGTCACTGGACTTTGAAGCCAAAACGCTATCAGGCAAGTCTCTCTTTTCTTTAATAGTTTAGTAATGTTAACCATGTTTCATATCTATTTCTATAAACACTATAGTTCGTAGCCTATAAAGCATTTTCACATACATTTTTCATTTCTGTCATGAAATAAATGCTGTGTCAATTTAATTGTTAAAAAATCTCCCTTTGGTGATCTAAAAAAAAAAAAAAAAAACCAAGCTCCAAGCTGATTCTGGCAAGTGCACGCACCCTATAATAATAAAAAAAAAAAAAAAAAAAAAAAAAACAAAGCCCCAAGCTGATCTGTATTGGAGAATGTAGCCACTACCTTCATTAGTCATTTTATTTATTTATTATTTTAACCAGAAGCATCAAAACTTACTTTGACTCAAAAATCATTTCAAAAAGTGTGGGGGTTTTTTTCTTTTCTTTTTTTTTTTTATTTTTTTAGATTGGGAGAGGGAACAGAAACCAGGAACTCAAAAAAACAAACATACATCATATGTTTATTTAGTAGTTCACCATTTTTCACTTACCCAAATCTCAGTTTTAAAATTATGTAATTTGGGGGGACCAGCAGATGGCATGGTGGTTAAAGAGCTAGACATTCCCACATGGCTGACCATGGTTTGAGTCCTGTAACTGTTAGGTTGGGACCAGCAGTTAGCGTAATGGCTATGTTGCTGAACTCCCATGTAGCCGACCACGGTTCAAGTCCTGGACCCAGTGGCTTAAACTCACACCAGGCGCATGTGCATGCATGCCCAAGATCCCAAGAGGAGAATGGAGGAGAAGGAATTGTGGCGTGGCCATCCCCCCTGAGGAGTGGTTTCTCGCTTTCTATCTCTCTGTCTCTCTCTGTCTTTCTGGCAAGCGCACATGCCGTATAGCAAAAACCTCTCAAAAAAAAAGATTCACTAGTAGGTGATTTAATTGCAAGGAAAAAAGTTTACTCTTATTTTTCTTTAATAACTGTTTGTTTTAATTTTATTTATTCATTCATTTATTTTAATTTGACCAGAGAGAGAGAGAGAAGATGAAGCAAGCCACTAGGTCTAGGGCTCAAACTGTGGTCAGCCATGTGGGAATGTCCAGTTCTTTAACCACCATGCCACCTGCTGACCCCTCTTACTTATGTTTTTATTCAAGTCTGTAGCATTTTTGTTTTTGTTTTTGTTTTTTGCTAAAGAACATATATGCTTGCTGGAGAGAGACTGAGAGAAAGAGAAAGTGAGAAAACACCTCCCATGGTGAATGATCACTCCACAATCCCTTCTCTGTTTTTCATTTTGGGTTTCTTTGATACACATGCACACGTGTATATGTTTTTCAGCCCACTAGATCTGGTACTCGAACCACACAGTCACTGGGGTAACCAGTGACCTTAACCACCATGTCACTAGCTGGTCCTGTTTGTTTTCTGCCCTCCCCCCCAAGCCTTTTGCCGTAAGGCACGTGTGCCCACTGAAGAAAGGGACAGTGAGTGGGACAGCGAGAAATCACCACCTGAGGGGACAGCCACACTGCAGTCTCCATTCTCCTCCCAAGAGTTTTGGCACACATGGACACACACCTGGTGTGATTCTCCAGCCTCCAAATCTGGGACTCGAGCCACAGTCAGTCTTGTGGGAATCCAGTGCCTGAACCACCATGCCACCTGCTGGCCCTCTGTTTTTTTTTAAGTAGTGAGAGATTTGATTCCCACATACTTCTTTCTTCCCAGATAACCAAGTTGAGTGACATTTCTTTAAGCAAAGAACACGTTCCTTAGTAATTCCTCCTTTATTATCCAAGAGGTCACATATAATGCAGTCACAGTTGTGCACTGTGCGTTTTTACTTAACACTATATCCTGGAGGTAGTTCCGTACCAGCACATACAGGGTATGTACATGGGTTCTGAAAAAGCTATGGGTTCTTTAAACTTTTGGAAAAGGAGACTGCAGGATAAGAAGGGAAAAAATACCTTGTTTCTTTTTAGCTGAAAGGAAAACAGTCATCAAAACTCTGCAGAAGCAAATGCTTAGAAAGGAGAGGAGCCATGTGAGGTAGGAAGTGGGAAAGTAACCCTCCCCTCTGACATGCCTGTTCTGATCGACTTCCCTCAGTATGTGGGCTGTGACCGTAATACTCAGTGGTTTCCTCTCCTCAAAGGTACAAGGCCAGGGCAATGTCTTGTTAGCTAGAGACCTGCATATGGTTTTGTTACATGAAGCTCTTTCATGTGAAACCAAGCCACAGTTGCCTTAAGGACTGTTCAGTGTCTGCTTAGCCTCAGATTGTATTTAAACACAGTACGATGTGTGATACTAAAGAGCTTGTCTAGAGCTGCATTTCTCAAAAGGGCCCTCCCTGTATCAGCATCATTGGCATCACCTCATAACTTGTTTGAAATTAAATTCTCAGCCTCAACCTCAGACTTGTTGGATATGAAACTCTGGGGATGGGCCCACCAAAGTGTTTTAGTTTGTTTGTTTCTTAAGAGAGATTTTTGCTGTAGAGTGCTTGCGCTTGCTGGAGACACAAAGACCGGAAGAGAGTAAGTGAGAAACCATCCCCCCAGAGGGCTGGCCATGATGCTGCAGTCCCTTCTCCGTTTTCCTCTTGGGATTGATTTTGGGCATTTATACACACATGCATGGTGTAAAAGTCAAGCCACTGGATTCAGGACTCGAACTGTGATAGGCCATGTGGGAGTCCAGTGCCTTAAGCATTATGCTACTTGCTGGCCCCTCACCTGTGTTTCTTTTTTTTTAAGAGAGAGAGAGATTTTTTGCTATAGGGCACATGTGCTCACTGAAGAGACAGAGAGAGACAGAGAGAAACCAAGAAATCACCCCCTGGAAGGATGGCCGTACCTCAGTCTCTTTTCTTCCATCCTCCTTTGGGGATTTTAGGCACATACACACATGCATCCAGCATGAGTTTTAAGCTGCCAGGTCTGGGCCTCGAACCACAATTGACTAGGTAGGAGTTTAGCAACATAACCATTATGCCATCTGCTGGTCCTGACAGTCTGTTTATTAACAAGTCTTCCAGATGATACTTTGGCACACTAAGACTTGGGAGCCACTGCTCTAGGGTAGAGCGGTTAGATAAAATTCACATAAAATTTTGCTCTTTTAAAGTCTACAATTTAATTGCTTTTGTATCTCATTTTAAAGGTGACCATTCGAGAGTTATCTTTATTCTTTTTTTTAAAAAAAGAATGATTACCTCTTTCTCTTTTTTAAAGAATTATTTTATTTTCTTTATTATTATCATTTGTCAGTTTGACCAGAGAGAGACAGAGAGAGAGGGAAAGCGAGAAAGCAAGGCACCAGGTCCAGAACTTGAACGCATGGTTCCACTCGTGTTCCACTTAGCTTGGAAGTAAAAAATGTTTAACCAAATTCTTGCAGCTGGCTTGTTTAACAAATGACTAAATGGTTTCTGAATAAAATTAAAGGCTCTTCTTATTTAAATGTACTAGTAATATTTACCAAATCACTTTCTTTTTTTTTTTTTTTTTGGCAGATACGCAAAGAGGGGAGAGGTAAATACAGCCCAGATCAGCTCTGTGTTCTTGACAACGTGAAGATGAATTTGAGAAGGTTTGTCGCTTATCAAGAAACTGTTGAGAAAAGACTGACTTCTTGAACCATCGAAAGAGAGACCAATTGTTCCCCAGAGTATTAGATACTGAGAATACTAAAGGTTCCCTTTGAGGGTATATGTTTCTGGAAGTCTCTTTTTAATGTTTATATTCTGTACATTCATCTGAAGTTCATTAAAACTTCAAAAAATGTCAGAAACCCCTTTTAAGCCCTGGGGTCTATTACTATTACTCTCTGAATGACGTCTTCAGCGTATGTTAATCACTGGAAACACAAAGGGGAAGAATGGAAACGCCAGGGTGTCTCCGGTTGTTCTTAAATTCACAAGCAGTGAAAAAACTTCAGACAACCGTATTTTCCTTCAATTTTGCACAAAAGGGGAAATCCAAAGCATTACTTGGATGCTGTTTTAAGCCAGTATCGTTTATATTAATAATGCTGTAACTGAAAAAAAATGATAAGTTTTATAACACTGTTTTTTTTAGTATAAGATATAGCATAGTATGAGATCCATTTACCTTTTGTGAAAGAAGTGAATGGTTTGAATTCGTATTTCTCTACTTAGTAGATTTTACTAATGAGCTGATGTCATCATTCTCTCTACAGGCAAGTCTGATAAGTTACCGTTTGATTTAATTTAATATGAAATCAAAACTGGGAGAAAGTATTTTTGAATAAATACTTTTTAATTGAAAGCATTGCGTCTTATAAAATCTTTTTTTAAGATACTTAATTCTATTCCTGGGTGTTTACTTTCTAATGGATATTGTTTCAAATATATGTGAGATATGAAAAGGTGAGGCAGCAGGTGACATGGTAGTTAAGGGGTTGGACTCCCACATAGTTGGTTGACTGTGGTTCGAGTCCTGGACCTAGCTTCTTTAAAATCACACCGGACACAGAAGAAAAGGGATTATATGGGGGATGGCTGGTGGGATAGTAGTTAAAGCAACTAAACTCCCACATGACCAACTGCAGTTCGAGTCCTGGACCTGGCAGCTTGCTTTCGCACTTTCTCTCTCCTCTCACTCTCTCATTCTGTCCCTCTCTGGTCAAATTACAAACAAATAAATAAAGTTAAATAAAATAATTCTTTTTAAAAAAATTTTAAAAAAGAAAGGAGGGACCAACAGTTGGTGTAATGGCTACATCGCTGGACTCTCATGTAGTCGACTGAGGTTCAAGTCCCAGACCCGGTGGCTTAAACTCATGCCCGGCACGTGTGCGTACATGCCCAAGATCCCGAGAGGAGAATGGAGGAGAAGGGATTGCGGCATGGCCATCCCCCCAAGGGGGTGATTTCTCGCTTTCTATCTCTGTCTCTCTGTCTTTCCGGCAGGTGCACACACCCTTTAGCAAAAAAAAAAAAGAAATCCTCTCCAAAAAGAAAAGGGAATGTGCCACGGCCATCCCCACTGGGTGGTAATTTCTCACTTTCCCTCTTGCCATCTCTCTGTGTGTCTCTCTGGTGAGCACAAGTGCCCTATGGCAAACAAAAATAAAGACAAAAACATGACAGCAGGACTTTCTAGCGTTCCCTGTCAATGTCCTTAAAGTAATGGGTGATAGCTGGGGCCCAGAGAGAGTTTCTGTGCACGTGTTTGTCTGAGAGGGTCCCCGACCAGCTCCATGACCATCCGTTGACCTGATGAGAAGTGTTGCTTCCGATCACAGTTCATCTCAGTTGCCCTGGTCAAAGGCCCGACACCCTGGAGAGGACTCAACTTGTATAGCTAGTTTTATAAAACGAGCTAGTAGGGTTGCATATCGTCTGCACTCTGTTGTATTTTATGGCCTTTACCTATACGATAAAGATTCTTGGGAAACCAAGGTTGTTTCCCAGCTGTAAGAGTCTCAGAGCCCAGAAGTCCAGGTAAAGTGACTGGTTCTATAGATGGGTGGGAAAATGGAAATGATAGGCGATACACGAAAGTTCGTTTTGCTTTGTTAGGCTCTCTGATCGTGTATTTTATGATATGTGCGTATGTGTGTTTAATGATCCTCACGGCCGAAAGATTGATCCAAGTCAAAAGATACATAGCATGTGTCTTTTGAGGGGGATTCTTCCAGTAAAGTTCCTGACTTCCCCCTGCTTCAGGTACTTATGGTGGGTTGTCGGGAAAATCATGAGGCATTTTTGCAGAGAACAATATGGAAAAATACAACATGACTTTCCCGACGACCTACTAGAATATGATTATTTTCAAGGAGAATAACATTCCTAATTATTTTCTTTCTCGTACTTTCTACCCCATAAACAGTATGCAGAATGTCTAGCATAGGACCTAATGCATAGGAGGCTTTTTTTTTTTTTTTGAGAGTTTTTTTTTTTTTTTTGCTATAG